TTTGGATCGTAATGCCCACAATAAACGAGGGGCTTCTGTATCCTGATGAACGGCATGAAAAGATAAGGGGACTCTCAGTTGGGTTTACTGACCTCGGTGACGTCCATGACCTTGATGGCCGCCAGTTGTCCCGTCTTGACATGTCGACCCTGGATAGAAAACAGAAAAAACAAAGAAGATGAAGAGAATATAAACGTTTTATTTCCACCAAAGCAATACGCACACACACACGTTTTATTTCCACCAAAGCAATACGCACACACACACACACACACACACACACACACACACACACACACACACACACACCATAATGGTCACTGATCTATGAGTCTATTGTTCCAGAATGAATAGGTCAGCTATAAGGCAATCCAAGATAAAATGACAGTAGTTTTGTTCTGTTCTGCTGAAACAAGTCAGAAAATGGCCACTTTTTATCAAGGAGTGGTGGCACAAACCAAGAACAGAAATCAAAAAGTGTTTATTTGACACGTTTATAGACGGAGAAAACATTCAGGGTCAGAAAAACAGCATTTTAACAAAACATTCACCTCAGTATTAACACTGAAAATCACAGGCAAATATGGAGAGAAATAAAACCTACCCCACAAGTTATCCTGATTATTAAACACGAAACACAAAGTAAGGTGGAAAATGAACTGAATCTACTATTAGCTCCTGATCTCATGATGTTTCAGCCATGTGCATTGCAACACATCTATCACACACACACACACACACACACACTGCAGAAATGTCTCCAGTGAATGCAGCTCATGATATGTGGCATTAATGATGACTAACAAACATTTTTTTTAACCTTTATTTATACAGGGTCACCTCATTGAGCCTTGAGGACTCATTTACAAGAGAGACCTGATTTTAACAGAGTGATGACAACAGTGGACAACAAAGACAATCATAAAGGAAAGCATATAAATTGAGAAGAATAAATGAAAGACGATGGTATAAAAATTAAACAAAAACAGCTAGGTTGACAAAAACAGATTGCAGTCACACACATAGACATGCAGACAGACAGACAGACAGACAGACAGACAGACAGACAGACAGACAGACACAGTGTAGACACAGATGACATCATGACAAATGCAAATTAAAAAACTTTGTCCTTCCTGAGCTTAAGTTTCATTAGACTCCCAGAAGGAAACACACACACTTGAAACCACTGCTAGACCAGAAAGGTTGTGTGTGTGCGCGCATGTGTGTGTGTGTGTGTGTGCGCGCGCGCATGTGTGTGTGTGTGTAAGGAAGGTGACTTCTGACAACAGGGACCATCTAGTCCACCCAAACAAACTGACTGGCTAGAAAAACACCTTAAAAGACGTCATCACCTGCTCTGGTTTCTTTGTTCACCCTAAAACCAGACAGCACCAACTACAACAAACACGTCTTCACAATAAAGTTAGAATATTTACAGGGAAGACTGAACACAAATACTACATTAATATTACAAAACGAGAAGTAGTTTCTCCAGAGCTTACACAAAGTTGTAGAGATCTACAGCGCCACGATGAACAGAAATAATCAGATCCCATTCACACGACATGTTTGTTTTATTGCAGCATGTAGACAAACTGCAGATGGGAACAAAGATGATTCTCATCATAAACGAGAGTTGTTTTGTTAAAATAGGTTTTTATTATTATTATTTTCTCTTCACCATATTATGGCTGGTTTTACACACACAGAACATACAGATTGTTTTGTTCGTAGTATTTATGACCTGAGGATTTAGATGGACATTTCCCAACCTGAAGTTCTGAAAGTGATTCGTGATCACAAGGTCTCAAAACATAAAAGTAGAGCTCAAACCAGTTTCTGCAGCACTGAAAGGTGTTTCACCTTCAGCTGAATATAACTCTCAAACACTGGATGAACTATTTCATTGTTTTAGGAACATAAGAACGTTTAAGAACCACTCATTTAAAACAGACAATGTAAAAAAGAAGAAGCTCGTGAGAAAATGTGCTGCTAACATTTTAAACATGACTACATTTATCTGTCCTTTTACACTTTGTTGTTGCAAAAACTGCATTACAACTTAAAGGGATAGTTCAGATCTACTGGAGTGACTTTAGGTGAAAAGATAAATAAGGCTCTATTTACACGGACACGATGGGGGGAAACGTAGGTTTTTTCGTATGTTAATTAGAGGAAAAGATTTGCGTTGACACGGTCGCATTTTGGGTTTACATGCATCCGCAGGATTCCACCCCCCACCCCCCCGCCCTCCTGAATCCGCTGTAGTTACCATGCCAGGTCATTAGATGGCGCTGTGAATTTTGTACCTTCACCTAATGTGCATGCTGCTGCCTCGGCATGTTGTTTTTCTCTGGGCTAATCAAGCTAACAACAACGTAACAACAAGTTAAAGCTAGATTTTGGATGAGAGTCGACAGATATGACGCCAAGTGGGACCGCTTCATCTAACAGCTTCACACCGGTCGCTGAGTGGACCAGAACCGAGGTGACGATGTCGGACTTTACTCCGAGATAATCAGTAGCTGATTACTGCAGGTAAATCAACGTTCTTAATAATGTTAGCTTGTGTTTACTTCAGTTACAAAACAACCAACTGAGTTTTTATTTTTTTTCCTGAGAGAAGAAGAGGCTGTCCTCCCACCAGGCGGACCGGTTCTGAATGAGGCTTGGCCCAGATGAACTGCAGGAGGACGTCGAAGAGAGAGATGTTGATGAACTATTTATTTTAAATTCCCCTCAGTTCTTTTATTTAATCCATTCAAGTTCAGTTAACGTGTTTTCATAGTGTGTTCAGTTTAATTATCAGTGTTTGTGTGACATACAGTTTGTGGTGTTGAATAAATAAATAAAAATTAAACCTGATGTCTTCATTTTCAACTTTAGTGTTCACGCTATATGTTTAGCATCATTTTAAATTTGAATTACATCATGTCCAGATAGCTTCATTTAGCTCAGAGCTTCATTATATTTCACACTAACATAAATACTGTTTATTATTATTAAACTTATTATTTAGCACATTTAGATGTTATAGTGCAGCGCGACGTGTGCGCGTGTCTCGTTCTATAAACAGCGACATTAGAACTGGATCAGACTGTGTCTCTTCCAACACAGATGTCGGTCACAGCACCTGGAATCTGACGTAGATTAACTACGAGATTAAAAATATATTCCATCAGTTGTAGTTCAGAAAGCAGTGTGTCTGCCGCCATGTTGATAGAAATATAGCGTCTGTCCGTGTGCGCATGTGGTTTAACACGAAGTCTCAGCGGGAGATGTTTACATTATCAGCGGGGGGTCAAAGAAAAACCTCCACCCTGGAAGGTGGGTTCAGAAACCTCCGGATTCAAACAGGGGGCCACTGGTGTCATGTAAACGATCAGCGGAACCGCAGAGAGAAAGGAGCGGATGCACTCAAAATATGTGCCGTGTAAACGGCCCCTAATAATAATAATAACAAAGTGCTATGTGTTGTCATCACTGTATGTTCCCATACAAAGATGAAATTAGTTCTCTGCATTTAACCCATCACACCTGGGATACATCCAGGTGGAGCAGTGGGCAGCTATGTAAGCGCCCAGGGAGCAATTTGGGATTGGGTGTCCTCCTCAGAGACACCACGAGATGTGCAATGACCGGGGATCGAACCCAGGACCTTCGGGTCCTGAGTCGGCTGCCCTGGCCCTACACCATCTACGGTAATAAACAATATCTTACCTGTTGTGGCTATCTCTTTGTACAGCTCCAGTTTGGAAAATAAAGTTGGATTCTGACCAGACTGATGAGTGAATGACTAGTCCAAGGGTGTCAAACTCGTTTACAAAAGGGGACCTAAACTAAAACCTTTTTCAAACTAAGGGCCAATTTCAAAAACCACATTAGCTCAAATCAGATACCCAACATATTTTCTTGGTTACAGGTTTCTCAACAAGAGTTTGGTTGGCCTCATTTTATGTTCTCTGTTGTGCTTTCAACATTATAATCAAAGATTACTGATGAAATTAAAGAGATAGAAGTAGTTTAGGTTTCACATATCATCTTGAGGGCCAGATAAGATGTGAACGAGGGCCACATTTGGTCCCGGGCCTTGAGTTACACACATATGGACTAGTCCAAGTAAACTGCAATAACATTTTGTAGATGGCAGAAATCCATTTGGTCTTGACTAGCCTTTAGCTCATCAATCTGATCAGATTTCAATTCTTGCTTACCAAAATGAGGTTATTTAAAAAGTTATCTACAACAGGTAAAATATTCATTGTTCATACCCTTTCCACAAAATCCTATTTCAAGACTTGAACTATTCCTTTAAACCTTGAGAAAAAGAACTCTAGAACCACATAAAGAGCGTGCTTAGACTACATGTCATCGAAACCAAGACTGCAAAAAGTTCAATAAACTTTTTTATGACTTAACCAAAAGTTCCACTGTAACTCCTTATACAAGCGATAAAAATTGCGGTTAGTGAAAATCAGTGATAAAATGCTCCAAATTTGTTTCTAACATGATATATTCTGTTAATAATATGGTCATCTGCTTTCTCATGACTTTCACAATGATCCGCCCTCAACAAGCTTCATCATGCCTTCATGTTTCAACCACAGCTTGCTCCATTATATAAAGAAGGCTTGAGGCTTCAGGAGATCAGCAGAAGGGATCAGTATTCTGTTTCAGCCTTCCAGACGTTCAAGCTCACTTGTTCACCATGCATGTTTCTGTTGGACTCAGGAGTGAAAGATGGTAAATGGACTGTACTTATATAGCACCTTTCTATCTTATCAAGATACTCAAAGCTCTTTACAACACAATCTGTGCCTCATTTACCCATTCATGCAGCACTCTACTATTTCTCTACAAAGAATAATCAGCACTTTATCACATTCAGCCACTGATGGGACACACACATTGGAGGCAATGAGGGGTTCATTGTCTTGCCCAGGGACACTTCAAAATGTGACTGCTGGTGGAATTGAACCCCCAACTCTTGCACTGGAGGATGAATGCTCTAACCACTCAGCCACAGCCGGCCCAAGATGAAACAACCTTAATGTATTGTTTACTGTAAACTAGCAGTACACCGTTGTCCAAGTCACTGGGGGATTTGAATAATGAATATTTAAGTTAACAGAGAAACGTGAGCTAC